CCAAAAATAATTCAGAATATTTTCAATAGATACAGATTTTTCTAATTTTAATTGTAAACTTTCTTTCATATTTTCATAAGTTCTATATATAATATCTTTTTTCAATAAATTTATATTGACAAGATTATCTTTAGAAATTAAACAAAGTGACAGGGATAATTGGAATTTAAAGATTTATATATTAAACAAAATTTGATGCTTCTGGCCAATCTGTTATTATTGTGAAGAGCTTTGGAATAAATCAATGATTATTATTTCCAATTGAAAGATTGAGACCATCTTGTAGTGAAATTAAAGGTTTGAGAATAATTTCCAGAGATTTGTGAAATGTTTTGCGAATAATTTTTTCAAAATTTGGTGATTTTTTTTCTGTAATACATCTGGATTTTATTATTGATAACTATCCTATTAGTTGTTTTGCATCTGGTTTATTGCGCCTCCATGTTGATATATTATCCAGTGTAATATATATAGGATGTAATGAGCTTTTTCCCAAAGTATCACAATTTGTTGCATCTGAATATAAAATTATTGATAGTAATTTAAAGCTGAATGGTAAAGAACTTTCTGTATTTTTTCACCATACTCCACTATTTTGTTTATCATAAATAGATTCTCTAGTAATCTTTAAAACAATAATATTGATAAGTATTTATTAATAAATTTATTAAAAAATTTTATATACCTCTGAAGTTTCACATAAACCTTCGTAATTTAATGCAAATGTTTTAGAAATATTCAGAATTTCTAAAATATTTTTAATACAACTAATTAAAGGCAAGTGATATAAAAAATATTCATTATTATTATAATTTAAAACACTAGTTTTGCAATATGTTAAATTTGAATGTTTCATATTATTTGTAAAAATATGTCCTTGCTGAATATTTTTTGGTAAAGGGCTAATTGACAAATTAGAATGTTTATTAAAAAATAAAATTATTTGATTTCCTGTTGCATTACTTAATCTATTTTTTATAACAAGTTTCATTAAATTTGAATATGCTTCATTGGGAAAATTTTCAAAGGACTTTGTGGTATAATAGGTTCTTCATAATTATCAGAATCTTCTAATATAAAATTATTTTATAATTCTGATCATTTGAAGATTCATTACAATTATCAACAATATCTAAAGTAATCTAATAAAATTGAAAAATTAAAATATATTCAAAAATAAATATCAATAAAAATTATAAACCTTTTTATCATCTTCGAAGATCTCCAAAGTATTTAAAGAAATTTCACAAGTTAATTGGTGTGACTCATTTGAGCTTTCATTAAATTTATCACTAGATTCGATCATCAATATACACTTGTTAACATGCCTAGAATAATTTAAATGTCTAACGAAGATATGTTGACAGAATGCACATTTGAAGGCCATTTGTGATGCTATGAAACACTCCAGAGGTTCATTGTGACTAAAGTTTTTTAACCAATAAAATAAAAATATTTTTAGCCAAATATTTTTAGCCAATAAAAAAAATTTTTTTTTTTAGCCAATAAAAATTTAATCTAACACGTAAATTATGACACGATTTTATTTAATTCTGAAGGCTTATGAGCTCATTTATGACACGTTGAACTTGTAATAATTAATAATATAATGGAAGAATACAAAGGTATAATTATGATATATTTTTTTTAAAAATCTTTATTATAAAAGGCTTCTAAATGTTCCAAACTTTTTCTTTAAAATGTCTGATCAAAAACAAGCAAGACATAACATGTTTAATTCCTTAATCCTAGGTGCTAAAAGAAAGGGGAAGAGCAGAGAAAAAAATGAGGAAGCTCTTGAGGGTTCTGAAAAGAAAAAAAAATGTATGATTATACCGCCTGCTGATTCTGAAAATTTTGAAATATTCTTTGATAGATCAAGGAAGTCTGGTAATACTTCATTGAGAGCTTCGGATGTTTCTGTTCTTATTTACCAGCCATTAGCTTGGGAAGAACCCGAAAGAGCTTCAGGTATTGTAAAATTGCTTTAATATATACTTTTTTATTAATACTAATT